TTGATGTTTACTCATTGTGGCAGGGGGTTTCACAGTCCACTGGTTTGACACTATTATCTGGCTAGGATGTTGCTGGGGTTGCCAATTTGGTATGGCTACCTCAGTGTCTGCTCAGTTGGCCACTAGTGCCTTTTGTGTCTGGTTGCCTCAGGTCTTGGGCCTCTCTAGGGAGCCACCTCTCTAGTCAGTATGCACTCAGCTGAGCTGGGGATGGAGTCAGGTGGCTGTAGTGAGGCCTACCTGCTGGGTCATGCCCCAGAAATGCAGGGTGTGTGGTCTCTGTGGAGCTTCCACCTCCCCTGCTAGACGTCTCCCTGCTCTGTGTGCACTCGGCCAGGCTTGGGATGGAGTCAGGTGACAGTGGTGAGGCCTCCTTGACCAATTAATGTTTTCTTCCTTTGAATTCCTCCTCCATGCTGTAGCCAGAACACACTCTCTAAAATGCACCACATCCTTCAGTGGTTCTAATGTCTTATGGGATAATGTTCTTTCTGACTGAGAAAGTTTTCTTTTCCTCTCTTCATGTTCTTAACTCTGTTAATAAAATACTATATTGGGGGGAAATCTTTTCTCTTTTATCCCCCACTTCTCTTCTCTCAATTTTCCAAATAAAACAGGAAAAAATATACTTCTGAATCATGAGTCCTGTGGTCTCTAGTGGGTTTGTCTGCCCTCAGGCCACAGGAAGGCTTTTCTCCACCAAGTATAAACTCGGTCATGCAGTCTGGCTCCTCAAGGATGGGGGTAGATGCATATGATCTTAGATCCCAGTTGCAATCTAATCTAGCTTCATCCACAATAAAGCTGATATTTTGAGCCTTTTTTGAATTCTATGTCTGCTACTGCATTACTTCAGAATCTAGAGAGTGAAGGATGTAATTAGCATTTACAAACCCATCATAACCGACCTCCATTATACAGATCACTTTGCTTTCTGCATATCATCTATTGTCTTTACCTTTCAACACCAATAACTCCCTGGCCACCAAGCTGGCTGTCATCCAATCATTCAAACTACCTGTAGTTCCTTAGATGGGTTATGCTGTTTCATTTGTCTGCACATGCATAGCAAAGCCTTTTCCCATTCTGATCCACCACTTTCTACTTATCCTTTAACCCTGCTCAAGAGGTGACCATTTCCTACATTATGACCCCAGTTTCTTAGACTTTCCTTTCTCACATGCTTTTGCAATTACTAGATTATATCCTTCTGGAGTGCCAAACTGTCCCTTATTCATCTGTGTACTCCCTCTATCCATCACACTTCTTGGCACTTGTGGCTACAAAAATTTTTTATTGAATACAGTAATAAGAAAATGATGAAATACAGGATTAAAAATAAATGTACAGAATTAACTGAGCTTTGTGCAATCCGAATATTATAAAGAAGATATGATGTCTCACTGTAGAGGAAAAGTTACCTTCCTTGAGAAAATGATGAAATACAGGATTAAAAATAAATGTACAGAATTAACTGAGCTTTGTGCAATCTGAATATTATAAAGAAGATATGATGTCTCACTATAGAGGAAAAGTTACCTTCCTTAAAACAACAGAGGTTATGGTAGCATATGAAGTTGAATGCTTGGTTAACCTAGAGTTGAATAGCTCTTGAAGTGTAGTTATACTTAATAATACAGCAAGGCAGAGCGGCCTGGGAATACTGAGGGTCTTGCTGTACATTATACCTTAGACCTCAGAACCACCTCAGTTCAGTGATTTTGATGCCTATTACCACAAAGACCTGTTTCCACTTGGCTTCCAAAGATGAGAATACACCAGCATAAGTATAGAAAGAGGAGAGCATCTATGTATTGGACCCTCTGCTGAGCACTGGGAAGGCTCATTAGAGGGTAACAAAGCCAGCTTCATATGCAGAGATTGATGCCTTGACCCTGGATTATGGCCTATGGATAGGCCTCTAAGGGTAATTCTGTACTTATTCCATGGCCTTTGCCTTCCATATTCTCTAGGCACTTCATTCTGGAGTAAGGAACCAAAATTGGCCTACCTCTCCTACAAACCATACTTGGAGGCTAAGCTTTGCCTGATGTTCTAATGAGAGATGGTCACATTTTTGGCACCTGCCTTTCCTTGTGGAAGCTGTTTTCCGCATTTGCATATTGAAGAGGCTGAAGTAAAGATGGATGGAGCTGGGCTTACAGAAGAACCAAACCATGACCTCCTGTTTTTGTATGTGTCTTTTGTTTTCAGCATCTTTCTGCCTGTTCCGGTTACCTCCCTTTCTATGAAAATGCTGAATTCAGCAAGTCCAGCTCTATTAGTTCAGTCCACTGGTTTTGGGTCATCTCATAATGCTTCAGCTGCACACAGGACCTGCCTCTCTTCCTCTTCTTGACACATTTGCAACCAAAACTTAATAGTGGACTGAAGGGCCTCCTTCCATCATTAAATTTCAGCTTATCATCTTCAGCTGCCTGAGTCATGGCTCTGCTGTTCTTGATCCTTGGTAAGTATCTCTGCTTCTGTTGGTTTAGGCTTCAGAGTTTTCTGGAACTTTGGTGAGGAGAATCCTTTCCCTGCATAGATTCAGGTATCTTTCAAGGATGGGTTTCTCCCTCCTTTTTACATCTGGCAACTGTTCTAAAACCTAAAGAGCCATGTAATCTATACCCAATATATAATCCAATTTGGTTACCATATTTTTTCTATTTTCCTGTATTTTCACTGACAAATGATAGTTTATCCCATTAGTTATGATATTTATGACAGTTTATTTCATTTCCCTCTTTACATAAATTTCCTTAAATGCACTATTTATAAGAAGACAAATGAATGGACCCTGGGAGTCATCAGATAGAGCCAAGAAAGGAAGTAGAACTTTTATTGATCATATTTTCCAGTTTTCTCTGAAGAGTGTTTCATATAATGTTTCCCTAATTTTCCCCAGTTTTTTATTGACTACATTAATCTAGAAATTAGCTTAGTTAATCTGGAGTTTCTGGAGCCAAAGAGAACTGGGTCTCAATCCTGGTTCCTGTCTGAATTTGTAGATAACCACAATTCTTTGAAATCTTGCTCTTTCACCTATGAAGTAAACATAATATTATGTTCCTCAGAGATTTTTAAAGATAATATCTAATATGGGGCATCAACAATGCCTGTTAAATCTCTACCCTAATCAATCACATCCATTTTTATTGTCTTGATGATCTAATGCATAACTGAAGCCCATTCTGGTCTCTCAGTTGGGCACTTATATGTTCTATGTAGGGTGCTGGTCATATTTTAAACATCTATACAGCCCCTACAGCACCCAACAGCTAGTGCTGCCCCTTATGGCTTACTGTTGAGTCTCTCAGGCTCACCTGCGGTTCCACCTCCTTCATGAAGCCTTTTCTGGTCTACATCACCTGTAGTTATCCACCTTGTAGCACAGCCTCCAAGTCACTTACTGGCTATGTCACTTTTGCATCTGCATATCAGGCTTGGCATGTTCACTTTCCTTTGCATGTACACATGTTTTATGACTTAACTGGACACATGGAGGGCTATGTAGTGAAATATATGTATAGCATAATCTTGAGTTTTAGACAGTTAAGGCAACAAATAGGCCTCACTGAATCTGGGAGTGGCTACATTCTGAAGATTAAGGACATGAGGTTATTGAGAAATTATTTGGAAACCAAAAGAAAAAATATTCCAGGATAAACTATCAAAATACTTGGATCTGCCTGAAAAGCTCTAGGCTGGAGGTCCAAAGGTATTTGCTCCTTCAGAAAAATAATGTAAGGTAGGGACATGGGGCGAGTTCTGCAATTGAAAACACGTAGGCCTCAGGACTATTGAGGGACACAGTAATCAGTACTCTCTTCAGCATTAAGAGGGAGCTTAATGGACAGAGGAGTCCAACCATACAGAGATCCTGTAGAAAGAAAAAAAAAACCCAATTTTTTGAACATATGCTGATGCTTAAATCTGGAGGTTTAGAACTAAATGTAGAGTTGCTCTCTGAACTGTGATCTAAATCAGGGGTTGGAAAACTATAGTCTGCAAGCTGAGAATAGTTTTTACATTTTTAAATGGTGAGAAAAAAGCAAAAGAAAAATAATATTTCATGATGCATGAAAATGGCATGAAATTTAAATTGAAATGTCCATAAATAAAGGTTTATTGGAACTGAGCCATGCTCATTTATATACTTATATATGGCTGCTCTCATGCTACAATGGCAGAGTTGAGTAGTTGTAACACAGACGATATGGCCCACAAAGCCTAACATATTTGCTATCTGGCCCTTCATAGAACGAGTTTGCTAACCCTGCTAAATGCAGGGTCAATGAGCACAGGCAGACCCTGCCACTTTCCACTGCCCCGTGGCATTTCTACCTCCCCCGACCAATGCATATTCCTGGTGGCTTCCAGTACTCCTTTCTGTTGAGCCATCAAGCTGCATCACCACACTTTTACTTCAGGCAGTAATAGCCAATAAATCTAACTGACCAAAATACAAAAACAAATCTATCCCTGCCTGGGCTTGAAGCTACCATCACATGTGAAGGAAACAGACTGGGTCAGTCAGCTGTGGTAGAACTGGCCTCTGTGATTCATAGCCAGTGTCTCTGTGTCTTTTGAAGCTGGTCATTTCAGCAGAAGAAGGTTCCAATAAGATTGACCTTGGCGGGCCGGCCCGGTGGCACACTGGATAGTGCGCCGCTTGGGAAGCGCGGCGGCGCTCCCGCCCAAGGGTTCAGATCCCACATACAGACCGGTTCCTGCTCACTGGCTGAGCGAGGCGCGGGAGCAACACCGAGGGTTGCGATCCCGTTGCCGGTCCCCGGTCCGGTACGGGGGCAACACTGAGGGTTGCGATCCGTTGCCGGACACGGAAAAAGACAAAAAGACAAAAAAAAAAAAAAGATTGACCTTGGAGGTTCTGTATCCAAGTTTGGCAAGGGACTTATGGAGAGTTGTGTGCTTTGAAGAAAGCCTTGAAAATTGACTCTATGACCTCACTGACTTCCTTCTTCCTTCCCCAGCTATTTGCACTGGACCTAGCCTCTCAGGTAAGATTTTTTGGGGTTTCTGAAAGGGATGCTTCCGAACTCAGGAGATGGGAAATTTTGATGTTTCCTGGGCCATGGAGAGAGACTCTGGTTCAAAACAGGCCCAGTAAACTTTGTGGTTTCTAACCCCACGCACTCAGTCTTGGGTGGGTGTATTTCCACCTCCAGAATCTAGAAAGGTTTAGGGTAGTCTATCCTGCCAAGGGACCTCTCCCCTCTTGGCCTCTGTGGTCCAAGAAGCTAGGCCAGCATTCAAGTAGGAGATAGGTTTATTTGAGGCCCAGAAGGTACATTGCCCCCTTGTGGGCATATCTGGGAAATGAACTTCCTTTTGCCCTGGTGGCTTCCAGCATATTTAGGTGTACAGGCTGAATTTACTCTGCTATTGGTGTGAATTCTACCCTGATGGATGCAGTTTGATTTTTTAAGGATTGCTGCTTCTGGGTTCTCATCCTAAGCCTCAGATTACTTGGTATTTTCTCTTGGCCTCCAGGGCTGTCCCTCACTACTGGTACAGGGAGACGATTGCTTTCCTTACAGCCTGCCTATACACCAGAGTATTGCTCCTTCACCCCTGGGTCCTTCTATCAAGGCCTCTGCTGATAAAGTAGGCTAAAGGCACTGCTTAGGACACAGTTACCTTGGTGAGCCCCTCTCTTCTCTCTGCCTTTCAAATCTTTTCTCAGTCCATATTGTCAGGTATTTGTTATAGCAACAGCCCTACTTTTCAGTACCTATTTTTGTCTCAGTCCATTTTGGGCAGTTATAACAGAATATCTGGGACTGGATCATTTATAAACAAGAGAAATTTATTTCTCATGGTTCTGGAGGCTGGGAAGTCCAGGATTAAGGGGCTGGCATCTTTCAGGGGCCTTCCTGCTGCATCATCCCATGGCAGAAGGTGGAAGAGCAAGAGAGGACAAGAGAGGGAGCAAGAGGGGACTGAACTTGTCCTTTTATTGAAAATTCACTCCTGTGATAATGAACACACTCCCACAATATCAGCATTGATCCATTCATGAGGATGGAACCCCCGTGCGTAATCATCTCATTAAGCCCCACCTCACAACACTGTTGCATTGGGAATTAAGTTTCCAACACATGCTTTTTGCAGGGACACATCTAAACCATAGCACCAGCTAATATTCCATCTCTTTTCAGAGTCTTCATCCAGAGTGCGACTGGTGGGAGGCCCCCACCGCTGTGAAGGGCGAGTGGAGATAGACTGGAATGGCCAGTGGGGTACCGTGTGTGATGACGGCTGGGACATAAATGATGTTGCTGTGCTGTGCAGGCAGCTGGGCTGTGGAGCAGCCAACGGAACACCCAGTGGTACTTTATACAAGCCATCAAAAGAAAAAGAACAGAAAGTCCTCATCCAACAGGTTGATTGTAATGGGACAGAAGATACACTAGATGAGTGTGAGCCAAGTGATGTTTTTGATTGCCAGTATGACGAGTCTGCAGGGGCATCGTGTGAGAGTGAGTACAGCAAGGCTCACCTTCCAGCTGCCCAGAGTGAGTACAGCAAGGCTCACCCTCCAGCTGCCCAGAGTGAGTACAGCAAGGCTCACCTTCCAGCCGCCCACACCCCACAAGACCATTCTTGTTGGTCTTTATTCTCTACCATGAGCCTTCACACACTGGCTAATTGGCCCCTCGTCCCTCACATCTCACACTTTCTCAGTTGTGAGGTCTGGAGACAAACACTATTCTCACATAGAATTGTTACTGTTACTTGATTGAGCTAATGCTTGTCTCTTAGTTTCAATCCAAATAAGAACTGGTTTCTCTTCTTCACACACACATAAATAAAAATGCACAGATGTCCAGCAACCGCTAAACATTTGTTGGATAGTGTATCTGGCACTGGGGTAAAGTTATGAGGGAAGAAATGAGCACACAAGTATAATGTGTGTTTTTTAATAGTTTCAGTTCTCAAGCAAACCTCCATATAATCAAGTAGATGGGAGATGCTCATAGGAAACCAACACAATCCCATGATAGACAGATAGACAGACAGACAGACAGACAGACAGATAGATAGATAGATAGATAGACAGATAAATAAATGATAGATGATAGATTGATTGATCGATCTATATTTTTTTAACTCCCCTACATATATCTGCTTTCTATGTATTAATTTTCTCTCTCTGTATATACTTTCTCCCCCATTAGACTGTGATTTGACTGAGTGGCTTCTTTTTTTAAAGAATATTTTAGGGGGCCGGCCCGGTGGCGCACTGGATAGTGCGCCGCTCGGGAAGCGCGGCGGCGCTCCCG